AATTCATATGTCGTTCTTAATACACAAATGCAAAAAAACCTGGAAATACTTAAAATACAGAGGCTTTAAGATCTTCACTGCATGCCGAATACAGCAAAAGAGAGCCTGCATTACTAGGAAGGTAATTAAATACGTGATAGAGGCACGCTGCAGTTATATTTCGTAGATATATATGTAACGCATCTGCTTACCATTAGGTGGACTGTATGCTCACTTGTCGCCCTTATTCTATATAAAAAAAAGTTAAGATCTAACTAACCTATCAAGTGCAAAGACAAAGTGTTAGATATACTCTATAAAGCATTCCGTTTTAGTCCTTATAGAAGACAACGAATCTCTTTATACATTCCATTCCGCGGCATTTAGGCCTTAAAAAGAATTCCACGTGTTCATGTGCTCAAGCAGCTACTCAACCTCAGGTGAATTGTAAGCTCGTTCTCCACTCTAATGTTAGGAATAAAAATTAAATATAATACAAAGAGACTTCAAAAAACTGCAAATGTAAAATTACTTTCGACATAATTAAATATCTGCTAAAGTCTGTGCTAAGACTAAAATAAGAAGTATTATACTATACTTTCTAAAGTTAATTATTCGACTCATTTAAACGGACTAAACAAAGCTGGCAACTAAAACATTGTATTTGTACTAATTAATTTCATCCCTATTTTCTATGGCATGGGTTTTCTTGAAATATAAATGTGAAAACACTTGAAAAACGTTATATATGTTTGTACCAAACAACAACAAATGCTGTTAATTTAGGAACCCCATTATTTTTTAAAGTCTGCTTACTATACGATATAAATTTATTTTATCAAACTGGGTAACTTTTGTGCCATTGCCATAAAAATATTGTCAAATTATACGTGATGCAGCAAGGGCGCAGTTTTATAAAGGACTATGCATCCTGGCATTTTGATTATTAATTTAGTAAATATCTTCGTACAATCAACATGAACTGCGTATCCATTTACCAATATTACTTGCAAAACAATTCCAGGTTTTCTTCTTTAACATTATGGTAATAATAAAGAGAATTGGGCGGTTAATACATTTTCTAATGAAATGAAGTTTGCCCATACAAATTGATGAAGCTTAGATCTGTTTGAAGTAGGAGAAACAATGGAAGCACCATTTTTGTTGTCTCACTTCAATCTCTTAAACCTATTAACTTCCTGTGTTCCTGAACACAAGGAATTTTTATCATTCTTTATATTTTTATATCAATAAAAATCTAGGTATATAGTTTTCCAACGATGTTTTTGTTTCAGTTAGAATAATTTCAACGTGAATCCTAGATACGTACTTGCATTGTTGTCAAGAGTCAATAGACTTTTCAAAACCATTGTTTGTGTTTCATGAATTCTAATAGCTTCAATTGCAGCAATTTCAATTAAAAAGAAAATTATAGCGCTACACTGGTGTATACCTGAACAATACACATCACAATGATATGTTTGGTCTCTATAAGACGTATATTGAAGTAAACACAAAAACATTGAGGGAGTCATAAAGCAGAATAATATTTTAGCAGTTGAACCCGTTATGCGTATTATGACTTCATTGTCATCATGATTATTGCAGTTCCTTAGACCTATTTCCAGTAGTAGACTTGATTGTAGTTAACTACTAGCTTATAATAAGTTAAGAATTCAAAGTCAAACCAATTCATAATAGGTGAAATTTCATAGAAAAAGTCCTAATATTATTTAAAAAGAAAATAAAATGTTACATGAACAACAATATCGTTATTTAACTTTTGATACAATAACGTTATATTCAAATTAGATGAATGACTCGAAAGCATCACGTTACAGTGTACAGAATACACAATTTGCTATGCTTTACACATAAAATACTTTAATGGAAAGTTTTCCATTTAAATTTGAAGATTTATATTCCTTACGTCATTTATGTATTCCATGCGAACAATATTATCTTTGTTCTATGATTTGTAAAGAGACAGTCTTCAATGCTACATTTCAATAAAACTCGTTTTTACGCATTATATCGCGTATATTATTTAGTTTTATATTTCCGACGCTTCGAGCACTTTACAGCAACCATGGTCACAGGAGGGACTGAGGTATTAGAAGTCCCAATGTCGTAGTTAATCACGATTATCGCCAGATTAAAATAATACATTTTAGAACCGATCGCAGTATGTAAGTTATAGTATTTTGAAGTCTTGCAGTATGCTTGGGTTGGGATTTAATTTTATTAATAATAGGATGCTAAGCAGATGGTATCACCCAGCCTTCTTCTATATTAAAATAAGGATGGTTTTCATTTCAATACCTTCGCGAATCATACTTGGAAGAAATCGGTGTACTATAGCGAGGAATTGTTGTCTATCAAATCTGATGTTGTAACGGGGGTGATCCAGGACGTGTACCCAGACTGCAGACTTTCCTAAGCGTCGTTTCTTCACATCAGCTATGTGTATTTTAATGCGAGTTTTTATTGATCTTTTAATTTGTCGTATCTAAGAGAGAACACATTCAAAATCAAGCTTGTACACTCCTGCATCTTGCAGAGGGACATTACACTTGACTGATGGTAAAAACTGACTAATCTTCTTCAGGGGCTTGAAGTATGTTTTAATGGAAGCACGCTTCACTGAATGACTGCAAGTTTTTTTTTTTTAAATTGTACAAAAAATTGTTAACCCTTCACGTGGTAGAGCCATGCTGCAGCTATATTAGTAGTATAGTTGTAGCGCGAATGGGTCGGCTCGACCGGGGAAGAAACCAGCGTAAAATAGCAGCTTAACGATGCTGTGTTTCGTATGGTGAGTTTAGAGAACTGGAGACCCTTTTTACTGGCAAAGAGGCATTACATCTTAGTTCTCACGGGTGACAACGTATCTGCATCTTGAGTCTTTATTGAGGATAGATGTAGATGTCTACGGGTCACAGTAACCACTTACCATCAGGTAGACTGTGTGCTTGTTTGTCACCCTATCCTATAAAAAAACCCTAGGCATAAAATGCCAAGAGCAGCGACAAGTAGCTGCAACGTTAATGTTGCGAAACGTCTGTTACTGCTATCGTTAATCAACTTCCAAAACACTTGAGGCAAAGAGACAATATAGACATAATGAATCAAATATTTTAAATTAAATTTTGAGCTTCTGTTTTCATAGAGTGATTAACGAGCACACAGTCCACCAGATGGTAAGAGGATACTGTGGCCCATAAACACCTTTACATTTATCCTTGATTCTCGATCGATATGTTCATGCGTTGTCACACCTGAGGACTAATGTATAATATCTCTTATCCAGTAAAAAGTGGTCACAGATTCTGTCCATCAATCAAACAAAACGTTTAATATAGAGAACCACATTAAGCTGCTATTTTACGCCGGTATTCTTTGAGAGCGTGGTGCTTCCCCGTTCGAGCTGACCGTTACAACCGTAATTTAAATGCAGCGTGGTTTATAAAAAACCGCTAAACTTTAATTGTAGCTCAGATAATTTCGTAGGGTTAATGAAGTTTTTATAAGTAGTTAACTTGTTTAAAGAGGTTGGAGTGATAATGCGGATGCTAAATAACTTAAAAGTCTCTTACTCAAATGTTTCATAAGTTTGGTTTCGCTCCCAGTTATGAAAAATATTATTTCAGCCTTAGTCATGTTTAGAAATACACTTGCTCACGTTTGTGTGTTCAAAATCAGAATCTTGAATTTCAAATTAAGCACAAGCAATCTACAGTTGAATCAATAACAGAGCGTTAACATCGCATCTTGTCGTATTTAAGTAGGATAATTTGTTTACATAATTGAAAGAAAAAAAATGTATTTTTTTAATTTGATTTAACTTAATACATAGGTTAGCTCGACCTTCTTTATCATACGAAACATAGCATCATCCTATGTTTCGTTTGGTTAATAAGGAGAACCGAAGTAATAACGAGGGTCTTTACTAGTGCCGAAGTAATCCATCTTAGTTTTGTGGAATGACAAAGCACCTGCATATTGTTTTTTTATTTAAGATAAATTTTGGTGCATAACATAAACAATAGCCAGCACTTCTCTTTAATATGGTCTAGAAGGCCGATAGTTACCACTGGCGTCTGCGTGTTCTAATAATGCTTGTGGGAACTGATCAACTCGGATTCGCTATGCACTGATAAGCTGCAAAATTTTCATAGTAATTTTTTGAGCATATCATAGATCATACTTCGGTTACCGATCGGTCTGTTATTGTATTCCTTTCTGTTTATACCATGCAAATTAAAGAACACAAAAATGAAAAGACAGACGAGGCCTGCGGAGTTCGATCAAAAAAGGTAATTGAGTTTTCTCGTGTCCCGTCAAAACAGCCCCGACAAAACAGCCCCGACAAAACAGCCCCCGACAAAACAGCCCCGACAAAATAGCCCACCGACAAAACAGCCACCGTCAAAACAGCCCCCGACAAAACAGCCCAAGTCAAAATAAATACCATACATATCTATAGAATTTATAACTATACTTATACCGTGTATCTACTTCAGTTGGCGATATATGGGAAACTTTTCTATTGTGAGTTTTAGCAAGAAATTATTCCTTATAAAAATTTATACTTTACAATTTGTTCATTCCAACTATTGCAAATGTATCTGAATAATGTTTTCTACAAATGATATCAAATTTAAAATTGTAAGTGGTGTAAAACGAATGTTAATACTTTACGTGACTTTTTTTGGTTCATTTTATGTATTTTTTGTTTTCAACAAAACTATTGCATCGTCTACACACGAAATAAAAACAAAAATAAATGTAGGTATAAAATTATATTATAATGTATATTTACAAACAAAATTCTACAAACTATATTCGTCAAAGGTTATTAATTACAAAGGTTACAATTATTAATAATTATTATAAAATAAAAATAAATGAAGTTATATAATAATATATCAATTTATAATGTCAGATTGTTGGAAATTCCACGGAGATACGGTAAAAGGTCGTCGTTGTTATAATTTCCCATAAGAGTTTCCAATCGACGATTAAGTTGCACATACTTCTTTTTGGAAGCTTCGGGATTTCTGAAGCCGGCTCGAAAACGTTCCAACTCTATTTCTACCCGGTCTTGTCCGGTCCTTCCTGAAGTGGTCTATTAATTTGAAAATACATGGATGGTGACAGTCAACGGTGTGTTGGAAAGCATGATGCCATCCTTCTACAGAGTTGTTTGTACGCGGAAGGCCCTGGTGCACTCTATCATGAACATTCCATACATGAATAGGAAATTTTGGATCTGCTCTCCGATTTCTTCTTTGCCGTCCTATATAAATATCTTCCCAGTAATCGATGACTGCATCAATTTCTCGTGGACAGCTTTCGGTTAGCTCCTCAAAAGCAGTGATTACGTCGCCCTCTTGGACAAAAGATAACGCTAGTAACATTTTCAAATGCATTCTCACATTTTCGTCATTGCGATATTCTTCTACAAGATGTAGCTCTTGGATTTTCCTCCATAAACACTGCCCTAAGTGGAATAAACAACCCATCACCTGAACACCATGAAATACCTGGCAAACTGCATTTTGGATCGCTTTCTCGAAGTCGGATAAGCAGCTTATTGGATTTAAAGTGGGTTTCAACTCCATCAATTTTTGAAACACTCGAACATATGTTTCTTCTCGTTTATCCTGTAGAAGCACGTAAATCAACGGAATAGAACGGTTATCTACCAATGCATGAATGGTAAATACTTGTAAAAATAATTGTGGGGCTACTTTAAAGGTTCCATCTACGTGCCAGTGCCGGTGCTCCTCTAAAACTTCCAAATTTTCTTCAGTACCAAACATGAAGATGCGATGAGGATCATTCTGTCCGGAATCCCATAACAAGAAATTTAGATTTCTTGAAGTGACTTGTAGTGCAACAGGAATATTAATATCGGCAACAGAGCCTGGGTTTGGGCACGACACTTCACGCCTTTGCCGAATACGCTCAACAGTTCTCTGAGATGCATTGTACGATGGCAAATGGACTGATACTTCCAAATTTATCCTTCTTGTCGATCCTTGAATCAACTGCCTTGGTTTCTCAAGGGTGTCCGCTGCTCGCCTTTTCATATTAGACAGATTTTTTTGCTTCATTTTTAGCTGGATCTGGAGCATGACTGTGTCGAGTCACATTTACCACGACATTTTCCAATGACACTTTGACACGTCCTCGGCAAGGTGTCTCGGCGCATCTCCATGATACACTGCCATCGGTATTAGTTCTCTCCTTACGATACCGGTACCCATCGCTCAACAGTAAATCTTTGTCTTTCTGCGATTGAATAAGTTCCATGATCTTCACCAGACAAAATTCTACAAGACTATAGTTATTTTGTGTGTCCCGATGTTCTTATATATTACTGCTAACGGCCGAAACGTAAATCCCCCCTTCTTGGAACCTACTCATAATAGGTATAGTCCGTTCATCGGTTTAAGAAACTAACTTTTCTTTTACGGGGGATTATCCCCTTACCTGGTGCTGCAATTATAGAACAATTAAGTAATTTATTAACACTTCCCATGTATTTCTAAATGACCCATACTCGTTCAATAGCAATAAGAGGATTATCGCCGCAAGAGGTACAATAGGCATTGTAAACATATTACAAATTACTTTCTTAAAGAGATGAACGGACTATAAGTTATTATAACATTTATTCAAATCTGCTAATCGGCTGAAACGTAAATCGCCCCTTCTTGGAACCTACTCATAATAGGTAAGTTAATTAAATTGAAAGCTGAATATAAAATTCCACAATATATTCACAGAAATTATTATTATTATTATATTATATTTTCATTATGTAATATACTCTGAAGATAAAAAGCACGATTATCAATGCAACTAGCAAAGTAATAATATTATACTACCTGTTTACGGGCTGTTTTGTCGGGGGCTGTTTTGACGGGGGCTGTTTTGTCGGTGAGCTGTTTTGTCGGGGCTGTTTTGTCGGGGCTATTTTGTCCGGGGCTGTTATGTCGGGGAACCGAGTTTTCTATCAAGAAACTCTCTGTAGTAACCCGAAGTTGTGTCTAGAAACCCGCGTCTAGAAAGACGTGTGTTACCGTTCTATTGAATTATTAGAGTGGCGCAATAGGAGTGCGCCTGTGCTTGCACATACACTCGTACACTATTATCCTGTCTTGTGAAGATGGGCTAGCCTTTGTTGATACTGGCCGCAGTGAGGCTGATACGGTCTACAGGACACTATTTTTTATTATATACTACTAGTAAAACCCTTAATAAGCCTCACATTTATTATAAATTTTAGGTTTGTAAACTAGATGACGCTGTTGCTTAATTTATTGATAAATAAAAATCTATCGAGTAAAACGTATTCATGCTCGTAAACTTCACTTAGCAAAGAATATTTACAAATTAACAGATTCACTTTTCTTACAACATGAAACCCTGTGTGAAAGAGGGTAAGGAAATTCTAAAGATTCGCGAAGCAAAGACGTCTTGAAAGTAAACGTGAGCCAGTGACAGCTTACCACAAGTTTAATAAATAAAATTATTCAGAAAAAGCTAGATTATATTTTTATATATAACTCTCGTACGTATTCTTGTCACTGAACTCCTCCAAAATAGCTGAAATAATTTGAATGTAAAATTTTGTGTGTCTACGAGTGGGTCCCTAGATAGCTTAAAGACAGTTCAAAATCACCCTTTCGAAGCCGGAATTGGATTGGATGAGTTTCTAAAAATACCTAATAATAATAAGTAAAAATGTTAAAAAAGAAGTAGCGGTTCTGATATTAGAACCAGAAGCAACACCGTAACTTTAATGGTTTCCAAACAAAACTACTTCAGCTTTCTCCCCGTCTTGTAAATACAAGCAAACTTGTTTGATACACAGTGAAGATCATTTAAATAAGATTAGCTGCGTGCTTTTCTTTAGTTCCAACATAAGAAAAAACACCGTCCCATTTCGTCCCGTAGGTGTCTCAAATCTACTATGAGGAATTCCGGAAAAGAGTAGAATAAAATAGAAAATAAATTTATAGAAAAGAATAGAATGAACTAGAATGGAATGGAGTGGAATTGAATAGATCAGAACAGAATAGAATAGAATATTCTTAATCAATATAGATCACATCTTATTATTATAGCAAGTCACTTTTTACTTATGGCTTCTGACATAGTGGTAAAATCATCACGTTTGCGGTAGTGACGGGAATGGAGTCAGACGTCAAGAGGTTTTGTTGTGAATAATTTAGTTCCATCAATTCCTCCATTAGTATTACTTGGGGTGTTAATTTTAACTTCTTATCTGGTTGGGCTACATAAATTTATAAAAGGAAATGATAGATATACGTTAAATATAGTAAAAAGAATAGAAATAACTAAACAAGTAAATCTGCAACCATATGAAAGCCCTCGAAAGAGGACACCAAACGGTCGAGGGTAAGGGGGTATAATTATTATTGTTCTTGTTAATATAAAGTTTCTTTATTTTTTTTCATTACAGTCTATAAAATACAGAGGAATTTGCCATAGTTGCCACGCTTACACGGTGGTAATAATTTAGGTACTTTTACAAACTAAACTTTTTTTACAAACGAAAACATAAAATCTGAACTAAATAAAAGCAAATGATTCATAAACAATGTCATAAAAACGGGGCCGGTATAGCAAGTATTCTACTTCCATTCTTTTATTTGAACCCCATTGTCTCTTCACTCAATCCTATATATATCTCTCTCACTCATATCATCCCTAACATTTTTTCTTAATCTACTCTTCTTATTTATTTATTTATTCTTTATTGCACTAAATATTTATACAAAAGGCGAGCTTAATGCTATTAATACCATTCTTATCCTGGATGGATAAGAATGGTAAATTGCAAACTTTCATAGTAAATTGATGGTATAAAGTAAATAAATATAACATTCAGCAGAATTCTATCGCTTTCTCGTAACACAAAAGATCTATATTGGAAATGGTTTCAATATTATATTGTGTAAGGAGGCGCATGACGTTGCAGTAGTGTTATCTATTTTCAATTTCCGTAAGTCCATTTGTACCGCGAAATTGGATAGCCTACCACATTTCAAGATTCCATTTTACGACAAATACAACAATATCAATTATTTAGTTTGTATGGAATAGCGTTGTGATATAACAGCGTAATCCTGTTTATGGAAACCCCTTTTTACTAGTAACAAGGCATACCATTTTGACCGTGAAGTAACTGTTTAAGAATATCCACTACCCCATACCGTCCCATGGATGTCGTAAGAAGCGACAGAGGGAAACATACCAGGAGATGGCCAGCAGCGTCTTCTTTTAACAACTAGAAAATAAAAAACCGCGGTTGTTAACCCGCCTGCCAAACAGCTACAGCAACCGTCCCCGCTATGACGCAATCTATAGGGAGGCAATAAGCGGAATTGGCAACTGGCTGCTCTATAGCTCGAAAAACCGACAAAGAGTAGAGAAGAAAGTTATTCGACTGGCTCCTCGTACCGGTAGACGAAGTATAGGGTGGCGCCCACCTGATGGAGTGACGACCTGGTTAGAAATGCAGAAAGTCGATGGATGCAGGTGACATAAGATCGTGCTTTGTGGCATTCCTTGCGGGTGGCCTATTATGTTCAGCAGTGGACTTGTGTAGAGCTATAACGAATAACGAACCAAAGTAGCCGTTTATAAGCTCCGATGTCGCATCACTGCTACACAGACGAAAGAGTATATAAATCACTATCTTTCATACAAACAGTACGTAATAATAGTTTAAGTTTTCATCGCTTATCTTCTGGTAATTCCTAAGTTAATAATGAGCCCCTTTTACGATTATGCGAAACACAATGGAACTGTAGTTAATATCGAAATGCTGGTTCTTGCTTTTTACATCAAATTTATTTTTTTATAAATTTGTTTCGACATATTATAAATCAAACAACTTATGCCCAGAAATATTATTAGAATAAAAGGAAGTGTGTCACTTCAATACTTAGATCTTGTAATTTACATTTGTGTTTGGATGCCAAAATGATTTACATGAACTACTTCATAACAATAAAAAATAATATAACATCAACAATGACACACTGGAAGCTAAACTAGAACCAAATTTACTTCATAGCACATCAGTCATAGTCATTAAGTTATAAAACACTTTTGCATCAAAATGGAACAATAGAGAAACTTGGATAGAGGTTATTGCATGACTTTGCTGAATCGCATGTCGAAAAGATTCAATTAATTGTATCAACATAAAGTTAAGGAGATTTCTTCTTTCCTTCGTTCATTCGTAACAGCCTTTCAAGGTCCACTGCTGAACACAGGCCTCTCACCACTAAGTAAGTGCCGTCACCAAGTAAATGACTACTTAGCGGTCAGGTCAGTAATGATACCCCGTGTAAAGGCAAAGCACGTGTCGTATTATCGTCGGTGGTATGTCTTTTCTAGTGTAGTGGTATCGGGATTAGTTTTGACGAGGATAGTGCACGCAATTAAGTGAGGGCGGGAGGTGCTCTTCAAACTAGGTAAGACGGATATAGTCAAAGTAATATTTACTAACTTTGATATAAAGTATGGCAAAGTAACTCCTGATCCTATTAATTATAAAAAGTGGATCCTGTATGATGACTGAAAGAATTGGACTGAAGGGAGGTGGCCGAATACATTCCCAAACGCAAATTGAATAAAAAAATATACTTAATTCCTCAGAGGAGGAGCCCTAATAGATTCCGAAACGAAATTGAGACAAAATGCTTCATGATGTATGACGAATCTATCCAGCACTATCATTACAATTTCTTGAGATCTGAACAAAATCACTGAAAAGACGAACTGTTTAGCATTGAAATCAATGATTGACACGGATCTAAGCTTGCTTTTAATCAATCGATACTATTTTCGTCCATTACTTATCCAAAGTACGTGTCTACTCATTGAATAATATACTACGGGAGCTTTGGCTGGAAACTTCTATCTACCATACTCGCAAGACTGTACTTATTCCCACCATTTTTACCAAGTTTCCAGTTCTGAACTGTATTTAATGTTTTATGTCCCTAGCTTAGTTAGTTTACGTTAAGTTACTTTGAAATCGATTGCACAATTTGTACCGAATAGGCAAACA